CCACCTCCCCAACTTCCCCCCCCCAAAGTTGTAAATTTTGTTTTCAACCTAGTGTCTTCTATATCTTGTTGTTACAGTGGGTCATCCTGTATCCTTATTTCAGCATTTTGTTGTTTCCCTTCCCCTCCCCAAATTAGAAAAATGTATATACAAGATGCAGGACACCAGAATCAAATACAGTGACAACAGGGATTATACCATGGGGGAAGAACATATAAAGAAACAAAAAAAAAAAAAAAATCACATAGTACATTAAAAAGAACAGCAAGAAAGAAAAATCTCTTGTGTCCCTATCTTGGGGTTCATTTCGCTTAGCATCAGCTTATATGGTCATATGTACATAGCTTTTGACCTTTTCTGCTTGTCCTAGACATATACTAGTTATTGTTCCAGGATTTTTTAAGGTAGATTATATACATCTGCTTACTAGATTTACAGATGGATAAAATCATCAGCTAGTGAAACTACCATTAGAAAGGAGAAGTGCTGGAGCCATTGAAGAACTTAATTCTGAACTTAAAAGACAGGATGAACCACTGATGGGGTTGGGAAATAGCAACTGTAATGTAAGATTCATCAACATAGAGACACTTGTAAATGTAACTTATAACATGAGAAAGAAAAGATGTTATGTGTGTTGCTGACTAAATACTTGATACTATGAATTTAATATCCTTTGCAGTAAGAAATGTGGTAAACTTTGAGCATGGTTAACAATTTTATTAAGAATAAATATTATATGGCATAATGAATGACCAGGTATAGTGGCTTAAGCTTATAATCCTACAGAGGTGAAGATTGGGGGATCTTGGTTTGAGGCTAGACCTAGCATTGGGTTGAGACTCTGTCTCAACCAATAGCTAGGTGCTGTAGCACATGCCTACTATTTCATCTACAGGAAAAGCACCAGGGCTGGTTGTAGTGGCGTGTACTATTATATCCATCAAAAGGGGAAAGCACAAGAGAGTACCAGAGGCTCATAACTGTAATCATAGCTACTCAGGAGGCTGAGATCTGAGGATCACAATTCAAAGCCAGCTGGGGCAGGAAAGTCAGTGAGACTCTTATCTCCAATTAACCACCCGAAATCCATAAGTGGCCTGGTGGCTCAATTTGGTAGAGCACTAGCCGTTAGCAAAAAGAACTCAAGAGAGAGTGCCTAGTCCCTGAGTTCAAGCCCCATAACCAAGATGAAAATGGAGGAAGAGCACAAACAGGAGGATTGCAGCCCAGGCTGGTCCAGAAGAAATTGAGAGCCTATCTTGGAGTAGCCCCCCAAAAGGGTAGTAGGATGTTTCAAGTTGTAGAACACTTGCCTTGTAAGTGCAAGACTCTGAATTCAAGCCTGTTACCCCCCCCCAACACACACACACACACACACACACATACACTCCTCACACACAATGATCTGATATACTGGATGCTTCGGCATAAAAATTAAGAATTGAAAGCCATCAAGATAAGGAGAGATTTGCCTTCCCCGAAATAGAAGCATATTTAGCTACACAAATTTCATTGGTAAGTCATTAATTATAAAATAAATCAGAGTTATAAACAAGAGTATAAAATAAATCAGAAATAAAATCTATTAGCCTTATTACCAGTGTCCTGAAATTCAAGTTCTCTTAATGCCTCTAAGCCTATTTCAGTGTTTCTAAAATATTTCATTTTATGAATAAAAGTAGGTTACGCACATTCCCAGCATTATCACTGACTCACCATTTCCACTGAAAAAAATTGTATCATTTTCAATACTTGCCATCTCCATTCCTAAAAATGAGAATCAGAATAGAGTGGCTGTTAAAATGAATCACACAGTAGCTTAAAATCTCATTTCCATGAGAAAATATTTCACAATAATGAAACAGACCTGTCCTTACTTCCTAAGACTGAGTGAAAATGAAGGAATTTAACTTGCATAACATTTTGTACCAAAAATGTTATGTAATATGAACTTAACACATTTGAAATGTTAATTTAGGGTTGAGCACGGTGGTTCATATGATTCTTGCTTTAATTTCAGCTACTCTGGAGGCAGAGATTGGAAAACTATGGTTAGCCCAGGCAAAATGTTAGAGACTGTTTCAAACAACGAGTCAGGAAGTGGTACACATGCCAGTCATCTCAGAAATGGAAGAGACCACCAGTTAGAATTGTTGTCTGAGGCCAGCCCTGAGCAAAAAATGTCTGTTTTCATCTGAAAAAATAACGAAGCAAGAAGAGACTGATGCATGGCTCACATGCTAGATCACATGCTTAGCAGGTGCAAGGCCCTGAGATCAAACCCCAGTACTGCAAAATAATATGTTAACTTGAGGCTTATGATGAAAGAAAATTCATCACCATCTGAATGTTTCATCTTTTTCTGTAAGCTTTAGAGTGATCTCAGTACTAAAACTTAGAAACTTTATAAAACGTAATTTTAAAAAACAGTTGAAATGAGTTCTTATAATTGACCCAGCCCTAGCTGATGGCTCACGCCTGTAGTCTTAGCTATTCAGGAGGCTGAGATCTGAGGATCATGGGTCAAAGCCAGCCCTGGCAGGAAAGTCTGTGAAACTCTTATCTTCAATTAACTACCAGAAAACTGGGAAGTGGCACTGTGGCTCAAGTGGTAGAGCGCTAGCCTTAAGCTGAAGAGCTGAGGGACAGCACTCAGACCCAGAGTTCAAGCCCCACGACCGACCAAAAAAAAAAAAAATTGAACCAGCCCTACAGCAAGTTCTGCACAGAGTTGAAAGGGGCTGTTGGGACTGACGATGACTCCTAGGATTTGTGCTTCAGCAGCTGAGACGATGGCAATATAATAAGACGTTACCATGGTTATTAATTGTCAGGGTATGTATCTGATAACCTGATTCACAGGAGTGGAGGAGATCATCATCTTATGAGACTATAATGTGAGAAAACAAAAACAATAAACTCTAGTTTTAAAGATGAAAAAGAAGTGCTGAGCCTCAGCAAATGGAGCTCACAGATGATAAAGGGAATACCATGGGACCCAAGGGAAGGGGGTACCATGGGGCAGGGAACATTTGAGAACTGCTGAGCAGCCAAGAGAAAAGGATTGGGGTCTATGGATTGAATTTCTTTTCTTTTCTTTCTTTTTTTCCCCCTGCCAGTCCTATGGCCTGAACTCAGTGCCACGGCACTGTCCCTGAGTTTCTTTTGCTCAAGGTTAGCCCTCTACCACTTGAGCCACGGTGCCACTTCTGGCTTTTTCTGTTTATGTGATACTGAGGAATCAAACCCAGGGCTTCATGCATGCTACACAAACATTCTACCACTAAGCCACATTCCCATTCCTTATTGAATTTCTTGACATGGAAATTGTTGATGATGTCGGCTAGAACAATTCTAGTGGAGTATGGAAAGTCACATGTATTTTTACCTTGTTTTCTGGAATCTGGGATCAGCATGCCTTTAGTTTACTTACCAAGTTGAGATGTATTTTCAGCATCCAGTACAGATTTGTTATTTTAAAAACATTGTTACTGCCTTAAGTCTTGAACATTTTATCAGGAGAATAAAAACATATGAATTAAAGGCAGTTAAAAATATTCATACATATTTAGATTTTCTTTTACCTCTTTGAGTGGATTGTGAACAGTAAATCATGTCAGTCATCCCATTGATGAGAAGATCACTTGTAAGTGTGGATGAATTAGATTGCTGTTTGAACAATTTGAAGAAAATGGAATGCCATTATAATTTTCATCCTTTTCTGATCTCATATATATATATGCATATATATATATATATATATAATAAAAATATGTACTCAAAAGCTGGGCATGGTTGTAAATACCTGTAATCCTAGCATTTGGTAGGCTGTGGCAAGAGGATTGTGAGCTTCAAGTTTAGCCTGGGCTACATAGTAAGACTTCACCTCAAAAAAACTGAAACTTCTATACACAATGTTAACTGTAAAAGTTGAGAACATGAAAGTCAGGCACTAATGGCTCAGTTACTCACCAAGCTGAGATCTGAGGATATCAGTTTGAAGCCAGCCTGGGCAGGAAAGTCCATAAGACTCTTAGGTCCAGTTAACCACCAAGTAAGCCAGAAGTGGAGCTGTGGCTCAAGTGGTAGAGACCTTGAGTTCAAGCCCCAATATTGTCATGCACACACACATATACACACAGAGAGAACATGAATAATTAGTTATTAAGACTGTTGAGTTATTTAGCTAGGCTCTAGTGGTTCACACCTGGTATGTTTTAAGAAATTCTAAACACATAAACCAGTCTTTTCCTTATCTACATTTCTACTTTAGCCAAAGTTGAACAACAAGGAATATAAATGAAATAAATCCCTGAATTGTTAGAATATGAAGATAATGTAAGATCATAACATTTTAGACTTAGCGATAGTGACTTGTTTAGGCCACAGAGCCCAGTTCCCAACTGGTACAACCAGTCAGAATTTTCTCCATTTACTGTGTTTCTTCATGCATTCTGGTTGCTCACTGTGTGAACATTGTGTCTGTACTCAAAGTTTTAGATTACAGAGATTTCAAATTTTGGACTAGGGTAGTTCAACCTGTAATACATGAGCAATCAGAAGATATAAAGCAGCACAGTAAATGGAGAACATTCTGACGATGTTTGAGTTGGAAGCTGGGTTCTGTGGCCTGGATAAGTCACTATCCCTTTAGTCTAAAATGGTATGATCTTACATTATTTTCATGGTTTAACAATTTAGAGATTTAATTTATATTCCTTGTTGTTCAACTTTGGGTAAAGTGAAAATGTAGAGAAGAGAGAAAGACAGTTTTATGTGTTTTGAGCTTCTTAAAACACAGCAGGTGGAGCCACCAGCACTTGGCTGAACACTTATATTCTTTTTCGGCTCCTGTCCAATCCAGGGATATTAACTAGGTAGAATTTTGAAGTGCATTTTTCTTTTTTAATCCAAATGATCATGGATGGAAGAAATTAATTGTGATATGGGAATGTCTTAGGTAATAATGGATTCTTATTTTGATTATTTCCCTTTAGGAAAGACACTGCTGATCCTGTAACATGGAGGATTGTCTTCATACCTCATCTGAAAATCTGTCCAAATTGGTCAGCTGGGCCCACAGCCATGGGACCATTTGCAGCCTCATTCCAAACCTGAAACATTTGCTTTCTGAAGGTTCCCATGGGAACCTAACCGCAATGTGGGGCTGCAGTGCTGGTCATGCTTACCACTGGCCACTGACAGCTACTTGCAGAGCTGGATCCCAAGAGAGGGTCTGTTTCCAAGACAACCGAAGTTTTAACTCTGATAGCCCTAGTATAATCGGGGTGCCTTCTGAGACACAGACTAGCCCTGTTGAAAGGTACCCTGGGAGAGCTGTGAAAACAAAGCTAGACTGTAACCGGACCAGAGACTCTTGTGACTTCTCCTATTGCAGTGAGCCCTCAGAGGTGGATGAAGCTGTGGAAGAGTATGAAGATGAAAACACCCTGTTTGATATGGTTTGTGAGTCTTCCGTTACCGATGAGGATAGTGACTTTGAACCCCAAACCCAAAGACCTCAAAGCATTTCTCGCAAAAGGCCCATAGTTCCATCTTCCCTCCATTCAAGTTCCCAGACACAGATGGTTGATGAATGCAGTAATGATGTCATCATCAAGAAAATCAAACAAGAGATTCCAGAAGATTACTACATTGTAGCAAATGCAGAACTGACTGGAGGGGTAGATGGGCCAGCCCTTTCATTGACCCAAATGGCAAAACCCAAGCCTCAGACTCATGCTGGTCCTTCCTGTGTAGGGTCTGCTAAGCTGATTCCCCATGTAACATCAGCCATCAGCTCAGAACTAGACCCACATGTTATGTCAGCATCCCCCTCTGTGATCTCCAGACCACTCATCCCAAAGACTGCCAGGGTATCTCTGGCATCACCAAACAGAGGACACCCTGGTACCCATGGCACCAACCAGCAGGTGGCCATGCAGATGCCTGTGAGCACATCTCATCCTAACAAACAGATCAGTATTCCTTTGTCTGCCCTGCAGCTGCCTGGACAGGATGAGCAAGTTGCTTCTGAGGAGTTCCTGCCTCATCTGCCCAGCCAGGTCTCGTCCTGTGAGGTAGCCCTTTCTCCTTCCGTTAACACAGAGCCGGAAGTGAGCTCCAGTCAGCAGCAGCCCCCAGTCGCTCCAACTATAACCACTGAGGCCACAGCACAGTGCATACCAGGTATGACACAAGGCGGCAATGAGTCTCTCATCCATGTACCTCACAGAATTTTGCGCCATCAGCATTTCTAAAACTATTATTTTGGTTTGCTAAGGTGCAGCCCCTCTTTATTTTCATAAAGACAAAAATAATGAAATATATCACATCAGGAGCTACTATGAAAGAAACAATCTGAATGAATTAAGGCCATTTATCCTTGATAAGTTGATGTACCTTAGAGATAGGGGCAGCTCTAAGTTTGTGAGTATGATAGTACAAGACTACCTTTAACACTGATAGCTCCTGAAGCTGGATTTCTTCATAGTGAACTTATTTTTGGGAAAAAAATAATGTTCTCCTATCAATGTTAAGGTTTTAACTGCTGTTTGATGTCAAATGGTGTTGGGGAAGGTATATTAATGACAGTAGAACTAATTAACACCAATTATTTATCTGAACCACCTTCATACTGCTATTCATCTTAGTTGGTGTGGTAGCTAAAAAGAATCGTTTAAAGCAACAGATATGTCTATAAGAAGTGCTTTGGTTTTTTTTTTTCTCCCGTAATTTAAAAGAATAGAGTAACTTACATTTCTGGAATATGTCGGCCTAACTAGAGTAGATGAGAGGAGAGTGAAATAATTATTCAAGGCCCTGGTACCTATAACCCTAATGTTCTAATGTCTTTCTTTCAAATGTTCAATGTCTATTTAATTTGGAGTATTGTTTCATAGGGGAGATTTAGGTTCCCATGCTTTTGGATTTACACTTCAAATTCAATAGGCCAGAAGTAGAACCATGCACAAGGATGAACAGATGTGAAGAAAATATAGAAAGCAGATCTCTTTTGCACATTTTGGTCCTTCTCAAAAAAGACATGTATTTTGAGGAAAAGCCTCTTAGAAGCCTGAGTCAATGTCTTTAGCCTAAAACTTCTTAGAGTTAAGTTGCTTTTATAAACATGCTTTTCCAATTTTGGTGTCAATTTTAAGATTCCCCAAAGGGAATTGCCCATTTATGTTTTTCCTAGCACATTCATGTTATTGATAAAATATACACTAAAATATGCATGTCATTTAGTTGCTATTTAATAATAATGTTGACAGGTGCCAGGGGCGTATACCTAAAATCCTAGCTTCTCAGGAGGCTGAGATCTGAGACTTAAGGTTCAAAACCAGCCAAGGCAGAAAAGTGTATGAGATTCATTCACTAATTAACCACCAAAAGGCCAGAAATGGAGCTCAATTGGTTGAGCATTAGCCTTAAGCAAAAAAAGCTAAGGCACAGTGCAAGGCCCTGAGTTCAAGCCCTAGTAGTGGTACAAATAAGAAGAAGAAAATTATGCTTGTCAGTTAATTTTTTTTCTTTTTAAACTAACAGCTTTATTGTGATAATTCATATACAATGCACAATTAAATATGTTTGCCATATCAAATCTCACATTTTTATCTCTCCTAAAAGAAGCCCTATACTTATTAGTAGTTTATTTTCCCTTCTCTCCCTAGTCCCTGGCAACTACTGATCGATCTACTTTCTGTCTTTATGGATCTACTTATTCTGTATATTTCATATAAATGAGTCATATACAATATAACCATGTCAGACTGTCTTCTACATTTATCATAATATTTTCAAGTTAGTATTTATTACTTTTTATTTCCAAGTAAGATTTTGTTGTATGAATATACCCTATTTTTCTTTTCATCAGTTTACAGGTATTGGATTGTTCCTTCTTTTGTCTTTTATAACAGTCCTATGAATATAAAGTTATGGTATGGATATATCTATATTTGTTTCATTTGGGTAACTAACTATGAGTGGAATTGCTGGGCCCTATGATAGTAACTCAATGTTTAACTTTTTGAGAGCTTCCAAACAGTTTTACCAAGCATAAAAATCCCATTGTTTTCGTGTTGCCATCAAGTCATTTTTCTGTGTTTTTAGAAAATTATCTATACTATTGTGTGTGTAAGGTAGTAGTTTGTTTTACAGTTTTGACTTGCATTATCTTAATGATTAATCATATTGAGCTTTTTTCATGCTTATTGGTCATATGTATATTTTCTGAGAAATGTCTGTATAAATCCTTAATCCTTGTCTTTGTATAGGTGAGTTTTAAAAGTTCTTAAAGTATTCTGGATATATTAAGTCCTTAACCAGATGTATGACTTGCAAATACTTTTTCCCCTTTTGTGGGTTGTCTTTTTCTTTCTTTAAGTAACTTTTACTTTAATAATTGAATATTGATGTAGTCTTTGGCTACTCTTCATACTCCTAGGCACGTTACATTATGCTAGTGAATGTCTTTGCACAGTAAATTTAATTATATATATATATATGTTTATGTATATATACATATACATATATATGATATAAGTGATACCTTTTTCTTAAATACATGGTTTATTTATATGTCCCATTCCTTTTTCTTTTTCATTTTTATTTTCATAAGTAGGAGACATAGTGTAGAAGAATTTTCTGCATAGTTTATCTTTAAGAATATAATTCACAAATGTATTTTACAAATTGGTCTAGTACACTCAAGCAATTTAGTAAGTGATGTTGCTTTTTTTCTCACACTAACTTAACTCTGCAAAGTGTGATGCAAAAATATTGAGCACCAGAAATTTTATCCTTTTTACATTATTTTATACTATTTTCTTCCCTTATGGATAGTGTATTTCTTGTAATAGCTGTAAAAAGCAGACATGGCCAAAGATAGTACATAATGTATACATTCATTAACTGTGATTTGACTTTACTCTCTCACAAGAGTTGGTTTGGCTTGGCTTGGAGGTGAACCCATCCATCAGAGCCAAAAGAAGAGTAGTGGTAATGAAAGTTTTCTAAGCAGTGGTCCTCTCTATAGAATATGATTCATGGTTTTGTGGAAGGATATCGTATTGCCAACATATCAGTTACTTTAGAGAAACACTATTTTAACTGGGAATGTCAATGAGACAAAATCTGTCATTTTTTTTCAATTTTTTTATTGTGAAAATACTGTACAGAGGGGTTACAATTACATGAGAAGGTAATGAGTACATATCTTATCAAGCATTGTTGCCTCCTCATTTTTTAATGAAAGATTTTATATGTATGTGTGTGTCTGTATATATACAATGTGTGTTTATCTTTGTGGCTGACCTTTTTTTTTTTTGGTTGGGTGCACTCAGAGCCTGGGTGCTGTCCCAGAGCTCTTCTGCTCAAGGTTAGCGCTCTACGTAGCACTTTGAGCCACAGTGCCACTTCCGTAATTTATCTTTGGTTACTAGAGTCCACGTTAAGGTTCTGTATTCTAAAGTTTATTTGTGATTATATATTTATTTATAGTAGCTAATCTTCATTTAAACAAAGATTTTTAAAAATCATAATGTCTACCATATGACAGTGTAAGTAAATGACTGTATAAATGGATCTTATAAAATTAATATGTAAAACATATTTGGGACCAAGCTAAACAGAAAGGTTCTGGAAGAACTAGCTTAAAGCTATACCCAGCTCTTAATATAGATACTATACAAACTTGAGTCTTTATCATGTCATTGCAGAAATATTGCATATCTTAGAATAATATTTTTAAAACAACTTGATAGATTTGCTACTGAGTTAGCAAGAAACAAGGAGCTATTATTCCTGAGCTGGGAAGGTGGCTCAGTGGTAAAGCGCTTGCCTTGCATGCCTGAGGCCCTGGGTTTGATTCCTTAGTACCACATAAGCAAAAAGAAAAAAGCCAGAAGTGGCATGTTGGCTCAAGTGGTAGAGCACTAGCCTTGAGCTGAAGAGCTGAGGGACAGCGCCCAGGCCCAGAGTTCAGGCCCCATGACCGGACCTCTCCTCCCCCCGAAAAAAAAGAGCTATTATTCCATTTTGTTGAGTTGTACTAATTTTATTTAAATTCTGTCCCCTTAACAGAAAATCCATCCTTATTTCTGTTCAGAACTGAATTTATATTCATAAAATGTTAATCAAGGTGCAAATAAAGTTATTAATTTTCATGTCATGCCTGCTATACTGCTCAATACAAATTTTAACAAAAAAATAAGTGGATACATATTATTAGAGGAGTTATTGATTATCTAACCATAGCTCAGATTCCATTAACTTTCAGGTTTTTACACAAATTTAGGGCATTTGTCATAATGATATTAGATCCCTATTGCATCATGGGTTACATTTTATGTGTATGTGTATATTTCTTAAATATACTGACTTAAGAATTGTATAAGAACATTCTCAGAAGTTTTATGATAGCAAATGATCAATTTTTGCTTTTTAGATTTTTTTAAAGTTTTTTAAAAAATTGTTATTATAGAGGTGATACACAGAGGAGTCACAGTTATGTAAGTCAGGTAAAGAGTACATTTCTTCTTGGACAGTGTTACCCCTTCCCTAGCTCTCTTAGTTTTTCCCTCCCAGCCTTGCCAACAAGTTGTATAGTTCATTTTCAGCATAGTGTCTCTCCATTTCTGTGGCTTTTTAGACTTTTAATAAATGCACTTTTTCTTTTGAAAATACAGTTTTATCTTTTTCTGATCAATTTAAGTGTCCTTTATGTGCAATTAATTATGGGGATACATTCCAAGAAATATGTTGCCAAGCAGGGTACTGGTGGCTCATGCCTTATAATCCTAGTTACTCAGGTGGCTGAGATCTGAAGATCATGGTTCAAAGCCAGCCTGAGCAGGAAAGGCTTTTGAGACTCTTACCTTGAATTAACCATCAAAAAGTCAGACGTGGAGCTGTGGCTCAAGTGATAGAAAGTTAGCCTTGAGCAAAAAAGCTCAGTGGCAGTGCCCAGGCCCAGAGTACAAGCCCCAAAACCATCACCCCCCCCAAAGAAAAGAAAGTGTTATTAGGCAATTTTGTCATTGTGCAAAATATCAGAGTGTACTAACATAAACTGTAAGACACAGTTTGTAGTTCCTAGGCTACAAATCTGTGTAACATGAATACTATAGATAATTATATATACAGTACATGTTTGTGTATCTAAACTTAGCTAAAACTACAGTCTAATA